TAGCTTCTGACCACATCCATTGTCTTCCACCGTAATTAGGGGTTGCGGCATCACCGGTGCACCTATTCCCATTGATGTTTGGGGTCTGCTCAGCACAGTCAGCCAGCGCTCGCTTCTGCATCCTGAATTACAGAAGCACTTAAGCATTGTCTGCCTCCAAGCAAATGCCTCGTTCTTGCTGCTAGGAGGGGACTTCTCAAGTGGTTTGGAGTGTCTGGCTGACGCAAAGGCTATTGCTTATGAAATGCTATATTGGGAAGGGAGTTTATTGTTAGCGTGGGTTTCCACCACAGCTCCTGAGCACTTAGCTAGATAGGATTTATTTTTTTCTAATTAAAAGAGAATGCCACAAATAAAGGAAGCCACAATATGAAACTTAAAACAACCAGTATTTCAAATACAGCACCAGCCATACTGTCATAAAAGCATTTTTCAGTGACGTTTTTCTTGTACTTATAAGCAAGTAGGTTCCCTCTCTGAGATGTATCCAGCGTGTCTTTTGGCCCATAAAAATACGGAATTGACATTTACAATTATAATTGCGGCAGAGCTTACTGAAGTATGACACTGCTGCTTGCTCGCTCCCCACAGCAGGGAAGGCAGCAGGCAACGTTACCGTGTTTGTGGCGAGCAGAAAGCGTTCTTCTGAACCCAACACCTTTACGTCATGGGAATACACCAAATGTTTTGCACGTAGATACCCTCGATAAAGGCATTGCACAATGCAGATCATCTCGCTTACAGATCCTAGCCGTGGAAATGACTCACTGTTGCGTTCAGCATCTTCTCAGATATTACACTGCCAGCCAAAGCCAGTGTCCTTGCGATCTGTATCCAAGGTTACGGTCTTTTCTAGAGTGCATTGTAACAGCCCACCTTCCCCTGCCTCCTGTGCATCCAGGCTCATGGCCACGCTGCCTTTTGCTTTGGTTGTGTTGGATTTCATAAATAGAACTCCTTTATCTGCATGGATCTTGTGCTAGAAAAAAGTGAGAACCGTAGTTTTCTTTTTTCATTTAATGTCTGTGTTCTCTGGAGCTGCCTTGGGATCACCTATGGAAAGTGATTTTTCTATACATTTGTGTATATTTGGAATTTTAAGAGATTATTCGCTCGGTTATTTAATGTGTGTACCACTTTGCCCAGCTGCATTCCTGATGCCTCTGTGCCGTCGTCGTGTGCCGCAGTTTCTTCTCGGTGGTGGGAGTGCCGGGGGGCGAACAGGCTGCTCCAGCCCCCTCCCCGTGTTTGGCCCCAGGCTCGCTGACCTGTGTTGGCTGTAGCCGCTTGGGGGGCTACCTGTGGCGTGGGAATTGTTACGTTCTGCATTTGACCATTCCGCTGACTTCTCCTCTCTGGCAGCAGCTTCTCTTCCCCCAGGTTTGTTTGGAGCATCTCCTTTCTTGGATTTGTGCAGTGTATGTGAAGTGAGAGCTCAACCTGAGGTTGCGAAGCAGCTCATTAAAACCCAAGGAATGCTCCGATTTCCAGTTAGCTACGTGTCAGATTAATTAAACTTGAAACAAAAACTGCCTTTTCAATAAAAGCTGCTATTGTACAAACCACTTTTCTTCTGAAAGTTTTTCTTTTTTTTTTTCCTCTCTGGACCTGTATTTAATTCCAGTTCTCAATATTAAAATATAAATGTCATAATTTTATGAAGAAAAGTGGTCAGAAAACTTCACTTTATATTGTGATTCTTTGTTCTGCCCTCTGGGCGAATGTTGTTTCTCTTCTAGAAGTGGTTTTGCATCTCGTGGTTGGAGCTGGTTTGGTTTGTGCTATGCTGGAGCCACTGCTGATATTTTAAATGCAATAAGTGTCATTAATTGACTTTAGTCCCCTGTTTACTCCCTCAATTCTTGCCATGATTTATAAATCCTTTGTTGAGATTCCAACCTTGTATCCAATAAAGAGCTCATTTCATATCCGACCAGCCTGTGAAGTGGCTTGTTCCAGGATGCAGCCAGAAAAAAAATGTTGCTTTTGCTGCTTGCTGGTATCCAAAGGCTGCGATCCCCGGGGGGGCTCCTCCTGGGCAGGGCGAAACCTTCCCAGGAGTCGGGAGAAGCCTCGAAAGGTTGACAAAAAGGGACTTAAGCATAATGAAACCATGTAAGCGAAACCTTCTTTGTGGCTAGTCTCTGAAAGATGCCTCGCTGAGTAACATAGAAAATACGTCTACGAGCAATTATGATATCGACCCTTTGGAAGAGCCCGTGGGGAGCAGGAGGAATGATCTCCCCCTCCAGTCCAGCCCGTGTGCTTGCAGCAATCCGGAGCTAAACTGGGGCTCTTCTTTGGTTTCTGTAGATTTGAGGATGCATGAAAACTGGATGTTGAGGGGGGAAAAAACACTCGTGTAAAATACCTTTTGTTGGAATGAACACAAGAGGAACTTCTGCAAAGAAATTCCGACGAGTATTAATACCATTGCACTGCTCCATGCTCCATACTCTAATGGGTGTTTCAGGTGAATTCTTTATTTCATAATGTGCTTTTTTAAGCAATTACTTTTTTTTTTTTTTAATAGTTCTAACTTTCCTTTATGTTTAAGTCAGTCTGGATGCTTTCTTGGCTGAACATTAGCATCGTCCCCTCCCCTGGTACTAGGGCAGTGTGTGTATAAAGAATATATAATTATTCAAAATGGAGAATTTTTACCTTTCAGGTTTTCAATAGGAAATACTGTGGAATTATACACAGTCCATTTTTTAGGTAAGGTTTAATTTTGAAAGCAGATTTCAGTTTTTAGCATTTTTTTTCCTTTTGAAATGTCATGCTTTCACAACATCTCCAGACTAATCATTACTCTTGATTTTTAATCCCTAGTTCCTTTTCTTACTTACCATTTCCCTGGTTGCAGTTTAACTCAGGATAAAAATAGAGAGATGAGGAGAATATATTTTTTTAAATGGACAGTATCCTATGTCTGTCTGTCTGTCACTGAAACCGGGACACAACCATGACACCTGGACACGCCGCTGATGCCAAAACTCACTTTTCTTTCAGGGAACCTAAACTTCCTTCTTGCTCCTTCCTCCCACCGAAGGACACCGAGATTGTTGGGAAAAAAAAAGGTGTTGAAATACTTTGGGGTTTTTCGTGTGCTTTTGTCTAAGGGCATCGTGGAAATGGATGAGGATGCCCTCACAAGGCTGAGTTTGCAGGAACTCGTGTCACAGCCATGTCTCCACGCACAGGTCTGGCATTGGTGCGGGTCACTGAAGCTCTGGCCACCCTCGTGATTTCTGTGCCCGTGGGGGTCCAGAGTGCACCCGTGTGCCGCCAGGACCCCCCGGCGCGTGGCCTTGGGCCTGATTGAAGGCCTGTGAGCTCCTACAGCAGTCCTCCTGGTCTCGCCGGACTTCTAGCCCGAGCCTGGGAATTGCTGAGCACCGTTCCCTTCCCCGGTGAGTGGCGTTTGCCCTGTCTGGTAAAACTCCTCTGCCTCTGCAGGGAAGTTCAAACCGGCTTCGGGGTCAGGGCTGATCAAAGCCTCTGGATCAAGTTCACTCTGATCTAGACTTTTATTGCAGCTGGGTCTGGTTTTACTCCTGGTCCCAATGGGGTTGAGGCCCTTTACACAGTTCTGTATCAGTGATAACTGTATTTCAGCCCGAGAGGCTTTCGGTCTGGGGAAACCAGAACCTGCTCGTGCAGCGTGGGTCAGGCTGGAGAACGCCTTTACCCGTGGCTGCTGTTCCTCCAAACCTCCGCTGCTCAGCTGGGACTTGGGAAGACAGAAATTCTGAAATAGCCAAATTAATTGCCTGGCTTTTGGGATGAGGAGCAGGAACTGTGGGACACCGTGAACTGATTAGCCGAGTGATGGGAACAGAGCACAGTGTTTCTCCCAGGACCAAGGTCCAGATTTGTTTAAAGCCACGGCTCAGTGTTACACCCTGTTCTCACTGATACTTGAGATGCATTAGCACAGTTCCGAATAGGAAACCAACACATGTTCTTGTTTAATCTTTATTGATTTTATTTTTTTTTTACAAGTATAGAATCCCATTTAAATCAGATAGCTATCTCGGCATCCAGCAATCTGCGTGTTCCTCCTTCAGAGATGCACCAGAGGACACGGATGTCTCAGCGAGGAACGGGCTTGCCTTGCTCTCCTGGTGCTCCAGTTACACTCTTAACGAAACCAGTCCCTTCCCAGCGCAGGGAGGGGAGCGACGGCCAGGAGGCAGCGGCTACGCCACGGAAAGGCTTCTCGCACGTCTCGGGTTGGAATCGTTCTCGTCACACACAGAACAAGGCAAAGCCTTCTCCGTAAAGCCATCCTTGTCCGGGAGGTTGAACAGATCGCCGTTTTGCACAGAATAATTCTAGAATGCAACATAACCTTGAGGACGTAATGAAGTGATTTAGAAATGGGCTAAGGCAGATCACGACCATACTGAGAGCTAAGTAGTTGAGCGGTTTTACCTACTTCCAATTTACTGGTTGGTGGAATATTGGAAAACACAGCCCAGCCCCTCTGGAAGGTGGCTGTGCACACGCAGTTTCCTGAACGTTTCTTTGGCTGTCCAGTGCGGGGAGGGTTAACCTCTCGCTTCTGTATTGAGCCGCATTTGGACAAGATCTCTGTTTACATTCCACCCACAAAAAACACCAGCGTTTTTCAGTAGTGTAAGTGTATTCCAGGACTAGTGCCCTGGCATGGAATGCGTGAAAAAGGATCTTGTATTCATTTGTCTCAAATAATTAAAATTTTATTTTACTTGTGGCCGACATGGACTGACTTCACTTTTTTTTTTTTTTTGACTTCTAATACAGATTAAGAGCTGACTAAAGATCTGAAACACTATATACTGAGAGTCACTACAGATGTTAAAAGAAAATACCAGCACTAGCACCGCAACCCTGCACGCCTGCCTTCCTGGCTCTTGGAAAAACCCAAGAACCTCGCTCGTTCTGTGCTAGTGCCGCTCCCTAGCCACTACAGGATTTTGCAAGGAAGCAAACAAGCTATTAACGAAATATCCAGGCTACCGCATCACAAAGCGCACTTTATTCATTAACTCTGCCAAATGCCTTTTAGGCCTTTCTTTGTAGGATACTAATAAACTGACTAAAGAGGGGAGGGAGGCTTTATGAAAGGAATAAACTTATAAGGAGACCTCATTCTGCTAAATCAGAGAAACGTAGATGGGGGAGTCCCTGTAGAGAGAAACGCTTTGGGGGAATTGTTGGCCTTGCAGGTTAGTGAGGTGAGAATTAGTTGAGGTTCTGCTGTATGGTAAAGAACCAAAGTTGGCTGTAGAAGGAGAAGGGGATGTCTCCAGTCTGGTCGACTCAGAACAGCGTGTCCCTTCTGTTGTGCTTCCTGTCTGCAGTCACATTAAATTCCCCAGTAAGGCATCAGGGGTCTCCTCTCTCTCTCGTAAACGTCTGGGATGATGCCATATGGTGTCTGTACCATTTTAACCGTCGTCTTCCCAAAGAGCTTCCTCTCGTAGTCTATCAGTTGCCTCCAGAAGCCCACGTTGGGGCGTATAACGGGGCGTCTCGATTTGACCCAGTTGTATGCCTCAAAGAGGGAGACCTTGTGGTACTTCATCAGGTAGGCGATGCAGAGGGTGGCCGACCTGCTCACGCCGGCGGCACAATGGACTAAGGTGGCCCCGTGCTTCCGCGCCACGCTGTTGATCTTGTCGGCGACGCTGTCGAAGTACAGGGAGATGGGGGCGTTGGGCATGTCAGCCAAAGGCACTTTCACGTATTCAAACTGGGGCCAGTTGAAATTGGGAATCTCGATGGTGGCGTTGATGATGCAGGTGATTCCCCGGGAGAGGAGCAGGTGCCGGTTGGAGGCGACGCTGCCCCGGCTCAGGTACAGCGAGGGGGTGATTTGGGCGATGCCCCCCAGGGCACCTTCGGAAAGCATTCGTGGAGCCATCAGAGTTCTCGGCAAGGAGTTGTGGCTTCTGGAGGTCATGGAGGATCTTGGCACTCACGCTTCCATTATGGGAAGAGATCCAAGGAGATTTTCAGCCAAGGGAAGGATTGTCTGGCCCGGTGGATCTAGGACAGCGAGAGCTTCCTCCGCTTAGTCACTGCAAAACACAAGGAATGCCACATGAGCGGGGCAGCTGTCTGATGAGACCACGTCTGTGCAAAGAGAACAGGAAAACCCAACTTGCCCTGCTGTGGCCTGGACAACCTCCGGCTGGCAAACCTCCGTGGGGTAAGGCGGTTTGGGGTTTGCACAGTGCTTATTAGCATGGGGCCCCCAGGCATCACCTGGACAGATATGAACCAAAAAAATCTCCCAGCCTAATTAGCTCCAATTACTTGCCGAGGGTTTAGGCTGCCTACCTGGGAGCCCAGACAGCGTTTCACCCGGATTAGCACGTGGAAGATCAGCTACGCCTTTTTCATCCTCCAAAGCAGCAACTTCATAACTGGCCCGAGTCCAGGGGGATGGCGAGAACAGCTCACTCGGATGCCAGCAATTAGACTACCCTGCCCTCTCCCCGATGCCACCCTCCTGCTTTTTTAGGTATATGAAAGGCCCCGCCAAAGTACATCAACAAAGGAAAGTTGCTCATTAGGCAAGGCAGTGAGTCATGTCCATCCAGATCAGTAATCGGCTCTCATCGAGGCTGGGGAAGTAAAAGTTATGTCAGAAGCTGCGAGTAAAACCCAAGCGGAGGCTGGGACAAGGGAGGCTCTTTTCCTGCTGCTGTAATGACTGACTAATGCTTTGGAGAAGGACGCACTCGGCAAAGGCGTGGGCTCGCCTGCGTGAGCCATGCTTCCCCAGCTGCCTCCGCTCCGGCCCCCCGGAAGGACCCTCGTTTTTATTTCCTATGCTCCTTTAGGATTTTTCCAAAGCCAGCAGAGAAGCTGCAAGCAAGGGGACGAGCCCCAGAGCGTTAATAATTTGCAACTGGCTCCTAGCTGTGCAGTCTCCAGCCAGAGAGGAGCTGTGGGAGAGGCTCCAGTCAGTCTCTGCTCTGCCCAGGAGCCTCTGAGCCCACTGCAGTGTCACCGGGCACCGCATGGAGGGGATCTGGGGGACACTCAAAGGGCTGCGAGACCCTGGCTGCGGCTCCCCTGGCCCTGGCGTGACAGAGCAGCCGTCTGCCTGCGTCCCACGCCCCGGGAAACACCGGCAGGTCTCGGCAGCGGCTGGTAACGCTGCCAGCAGATTTTTGGCATGGCTTTGTGGTGTGGTAACTTAATGAGCATAACATGGTCTCCTCTGTGGCTTCCTCCCTGCTGGCAGCTGCTCGAGAAGCTCCTGAAACCATGGGCCCAAAGTGCCGGAGCTGGAAGAGTTCATGCCCCAACAAGAAGATTTTTGCTGCAGCTGTGAGCACTCGGCTTCCCCTGTGGACACCCCACCGCAGTCACCCGGCTGGAGCAACAAGGAAAGGCACGGCTCGTCAGAGGAATAAAGTCCTCTGAGCAGGGGAAATCCCTGCTCTCAAAGAGCTGTCACACTGCGAAGGAGTTGGGCACTTACGCTGGGTAACACGCTCGGCGTCCTGCTCTGAATCACCGATGGGCACGCGGACACTGTGGGCTGCTGGTGCTGGGAAGTCTCACAGAGCGTGTCCACCGCTGAGCTGGGGAGAGAAGAGAGCGGGGGGTTCATTGGGATCCGTGCTGGAGCCACACAGGGCACCAGGCAGCCCCCCTCCTCCTTCAGGTGGTTGTCCAAGAGCTGGAAGGATGAACCACAGCGTCCCTGCCCACTCCCCGGGGAGAGACAGAGGCCTCGGGAAGGCGCTTGCTGCTGCCAGCGTCATGTCACCGATTGCTGCCAGCAGTCCTCAAAATCACGGTAGGCCCAGAGGAACCTGAGGCTGGTGCAAAAGTCATGACTCAAAACAACAAAAAAAAGTAATTAATTTGCTCTAACGTCTCCGTTAGCAGCCGCCAAGATGCTCGGCTGGTCCCGGACAGCTGGCGCAGGTCTGTGTTTCATCTGACGGAGCCCCTCGCCAGGGCTGTGCTGCCCCGTCCCCCCGGCACTGCTGGAGGGAAGGGAAGGGGCAGAGCTGGTGCCACGAGCTGCACCATCCCGCTCCTGGAAACTGGAGAAGAGAGGCAACATCACACAAGTCCCCGGAGTGCCGGTGGTACCCAGGGTCTCAGAGCCCCAGGTGGGCTGGGCTGCCGGGCGGGGGGCCTGCCCAGGAGAGGCTGGTGTCACGGCTGCAGCAGGGCGGGCCAGGAGGCTCTGCCAAGCGCTGGGAAGCTGAGACGAGTCGGCCGGAGGCCAAACAGCAAACCCAAACGGGATTTTTAACACCGCATCTCCCTCGAGGAGGGCTGGGAATGTTAGCAGAGGGCAACCCGCAAACCTGCTGCGGGAGAGGCTGGGA